CAGCTCCTGGAGGCAGAGTCAGTTGGACACCTGTGAATTTGAGGACAGCGGGTTTACAGACATGAGTTCCAGTACTGTCAGGAATACAGAGAGGGTCCAAGTTTCAAAATACAACAAGAAGGAAGTTACCAGAAAAGACATAACACATGAAACCATGCACGAGAATAGGTTGTGAGGGTGTCAGTAAAAACACAATACTCGACACATTTAAAATCTTCATTTTTATTTTATATGTGTTGCTATTTTGCCTGCATGTCCATCAGTGCAGCACATTTTTTGCAGTATCCCAAAAGACCAGAAGATGGCATAATATCACCTGGAATTGGAGTTAGGGTGGGTTGGGAGCTACCTTGTGGAATGGAAGCTGGGTCCTCTGCAAGAGCAATTATACAGTGAACATTTTACTAATGTATTCAAAGTCCAAATTTGAATGACAAGTGCCAGAATATTCCAAGTTCAGTATTCCTTGCACTGTGCATTCAGCAGATGTTACATTTCTAATGGGAGGAGTGCATTCATTAATACCTGAGGAATTAGTATGTATACATTGTGCACATGCACACTTTCAGATATTAATGCTTCATATCTATGTGGAAACATGCTGATGTTCATGTAACAATATTGATACCAGGCTAACATTTTTATTTTAAATATTGTGGTAATCCAGTTATATATGCTTATTTTTATTTCAATAGTTATCTGAGAAAATTCTATTCCTAGAAGGATGTCCAAAGTTCAGCCAGAGGTGAGGCCTGCATACCTCAAGCAGGAAGAATTTGCTCAGACTTAATGGTAAATGTTCACAGAACACACAGACTCCTCTTTTAAATACAGAGAAGGACTGGGCAGACAATTCTGTTGGGATGTTTATAACTGATGCCAAAGTAGATCTCTGAAAGCTCAGATCTGCTTTGTTTTGTATTTTATTTAGAAAATAAAAGTGCAGGTAACATAAATGGCTGTAGTTGCTAGGGTGCATCACTCAATAAAGTTAAACACAGATGATGTCTGCATTAGCCCATTTTCCAATGGTTTAATAAAATCTCTGGAGATATGGACTATTGAAAGGAGACTTTAAGCAAATGGAAGACACAAGTTGCTTTTTACAAAAGAGTAGGCACTTAGAAGAGGAATCTGTTGCAGCCAAAGAGATGAGAAGTTATGTTGTGGGTATAGAAGTTTTCTTTGCTAGGCAAATGTACAAGCAGAGATAACACATTTACTCAGCTTGCATTCTGAAAGGCTTTAAGAGGCAGTGGACAGGGAAAGAGCAGGGGTCCTTCCTGTCAGCCCAGGGCTGATATCAAGCAGGATGGTTTGCTTAGTCTGGTGACCATGTTCTGGCCCTGCATGTCATCTCCAGCAACAGCAAGGCTCTAGTGTGACTAGGCAGATAACCTGGGAATCTTCACATCATCTGAGTGTGAACTCTGCCGATATCCCCCTGGCTTCTGAGGGCAGACTTGACGACTCTGAAGCAAAGCTGTATCCTGTAGGGTGAGGAGGCTTTCCCCTGGGTCACCTGAAGCGTGTGAAAGGAGGGAGAAGGAACCAGCTGACCAGGGA